CTAAGGTATACTTATACATGAGTACAGGAGAGCAGTTTTGGAGTCCAGAGAAATGTAGACCCAGACTATCAGGGTGATTGACCAGAATGGGAGCAGGACTTCTTGGGAATTAAAACTCAGTTGACATAAATGAAGAATTATAACCTCTTGTGAAGTTTAGTGAGATTTGGTGACCACCATGTTATTAATGTCTGAGAAATCTGTTTTGATGGCATTTTCTATTTGATGTGTTCTATGGGGCATTCAATTACAGTCTAGTATTCATATTTTTAAATATACAAATTTATCATGTGGTAAATAAGTTGCATTAGTGTTCTAATGGTGTAATGTTTATTGTATACTTAAATCTTATGATTTCATTGTCCTGTTTATTCCCCTGGCTCTCACATTTCTTCTACTTTTAAAAAGTTACTGTTCCCTACCCAGACTTAAACATAAATTTGGAGGCCTAGTGCGAGATTGTAACAATGGTCAACATTTCGGAGTCCAAAAAAAGAGATATCAGTACAAGCTTCGTTATCAGTCTGATTAAATTTGAGTTTTATACGTGTTTTGAAGTTTGCATTTTAAACTAATGAAAAACAAGAGTTGGTCTATTTTTGTGAAGGGTTTAAACAAAGTAGTTCAGTCTTTCTGAAACCATGTTTTAAAACTAGTACATGCCTCCTGAAGTATTAGCAGAAGTCTGTTTATACTGTGGGGGTTTACAACCAGAGAGAGAAAACATCAAGCTTAGCAGAGTTTAGGATGAGCAAGTTTTTAAAAATTTAGTTCAAAAGCTTTTGGGTTCATTCAAAAAGGCCTGTTTGCAGTTATACGCAAGTAAAGTTTATCTGTTTATCCTTGTTCAGAACAGCTAAGGAAATAAGTTCTCATTAAAAAGGTTTAATTTGTATAACTTCCAGACAATGAATGTCTAGTTAGAAACCTGTATTCACTATTCAAAGCTGAGACAGTATGAGCTTTCCAGTTGGGTATGCATTCATTGAAATAACCTCACAGCTCACAGGATAGGAGCTAAGAAGAAACAGTTAGGTCACACCTACAGATTTGATAGGTAAGGTATTTCTCCTGAAACTCAGTAACTATAATACAACGATGTTGGGGAGTGAATGAGATTTTGTTTTGAAAGATTTTAAACTGTTATATTTAGATAGCTTGGTTTGTTTTATTTTTCCTTCTTTTGTATAATAAACTGCAGACTTATTGTTAAAATCAACCCTGTAGTCTTTGTACTTATGTTTGTGAAAGATCACCATGTTAAATTAAAAGAAAACAAAATATCATCAGGTCAGATTTCAGTCTAGGACCTGACTTGTCCAGTAGTAACACCAGTTGAGATCATAATATCACACATTAAAGAGGCCGATCTATCATGATATGATCACAGATTGCTTTAGTGCTTGTTATTGTATCAAATTCATATTAGAAAGCTTGATTAGCTTGCTCAGCCAGAACTGGAAAAACAGACTTCTAGTTCACTTTTGGGACTTGGGTGGTCTGTGCAGCCATTTCTCCAGACAGGAAACCCCAAGTTTGTAAATACGTCTTCACATGAATAAACTTTTTTCACAAAACTACAATCAAAAGCATAGGCTTACAATTCTGTAGGACTTCAGTTTATTGATCCATTAGAAACATCCACAAGTTTAACACTTTAATACAAGATCTTTTAAAGTTTTTGCGGGATGGGTGTTTAAGATTCTATAGGACACATATGTCATTGACTATATATTTGCAATGTTTCTCCTCTCACTCCTATGGGGACGTAGGTTTGGATACACCTTGAGCTTTATTTTGAGAAGATCTTTCTTTAATCTCCTTCAATCTAAAATTTACAGAATTAAATGTAAAACACATGTATTCATAGACTAATGATTTGAATAAATTGTCAAAACAGGTAGCCAAATCATTGTAGAAAGGTGCTTTATTTTTATTTCAGAATAATAAAATGTACAATTCTATCTGTTTCTAGACTTTGCTATCATATTTGTCGTCCCGATTCAATTTATTTCAGTTATTCAACAATTTTGTTGAAAACAGTTCTGTTTTTGTGACATCTATGGCAAGAGCAGAGCTAAACTACATTTTCACACAAAAAAATCAGGCACTGTAATTCCATGATTTCACAACCAATGCAGTGAGGCTCACTCTTTAATTCCAAAGTTAAACTCCTCACAGAGGAAACTGTAATAGGAAAACTGTCAGGCACTGAGGCAATTTTCCCACACAGAGGTGATATTATTTTGTGACACCATCCTTCTTAAACTTGCATAGCCAGGTTCCACGATTTGCATTAATGTTGAAAATACTCAGTAGGTCAGGCGGCATCTGTGCAGAGTTGTGCAGCACCAAAACGGGCCCTTTGAACGAACTCATCCATGCTGACCAGATATCCTAAACTAATGTAGTCCCATTTGCCAGTATTTGGCCCATAACCCTCTAAAAAGCCTTCCTATTCATGTACCCATCCAGATGTCTTTTAAATGTTGCAATTTTATCATCCTCCACCACTTCCACAGCTCATTCCATACACAACCACCCTTTGCGTGAAAAAGTTGCCACTTAGGTCCCGTCTATAGCTTTCCCCTCTCACCTTAAAATAATGCCTTCTAGTTTTGGATCCCCCAACCCCTGGGAGAAAGACCATGACTATTCACCCTAGTCATGGTCTGTGCCCTTCATGAGTTTATAAAACTCTATAAGTCACTCTTCAACCTCCAATGCTCCAGGGAAAATAGACCCAGTCTATTCAGCCTCTTCGTGTAGCTCAAACTCTCCAACTCTGGCAATATCCTTAAATCTTTCTGGAACCCTTTCATGTTTAAAAACATCTTTCCTATAGCAGTGAGACCAGAATTGAATGCAGTGATTCAGAAGTGGCCTAACCAAAGTCTTGTATAGCCACAAATGACATCCCAACTCCTATACTCAATGCACTAACCAGTAAAGGTCAGTGTACCAAACTCCTCCTTCACTACCCTGTCTACCTGTGACCCCACCTTCAAAGAACTATGAACCTGCATCCCAAGGTCTCTTTGCTTGATAACACTCCCTGGGATCCTACCATTAAGTGTACAAGTCTTGCCTTGATCTGTCTTACCAAAATGTAGAACCTCATGTATCTAAACTAAACTCCATTTGCACACTTCAGCCCATCGGCCCATTTGATCAAGGTCCCGTTATACTGAGATAACCTTCTTTACTGTCCACTAAACCACCAATTTTGGTGTCATCTGCAAACTTACTAAACATTTCTCCCATGTTCACATCCAAATCATTTATATAAATGACAAAAAGCAACGGTTCCAGCACCGATCCTTGCAGAACAATGCTGGTCACAGGCCTCCAGTCTGAAAAACTCCTCCACATCCACCCTGTCTCCTACCTTCAAGCCAATTTTGTATCCAGTTGGCTAGCTCTTCCTGGATCCCATGTCATTCTAACCTTGGCAACCAGTCCACCATGCAGAACCTTGTTGAACGCCTTGCTGAAGTCCATAAAGACAATGTCCACCACACTGTCTTCATCAATCTTCTTTATCACTTCTTCAAAAACTCAATCCAGTTAGTAAGACATAATTTCCCACACACAAAGCCATGTTGACTATTCCTAATCAGTCCTTGCCTTTCCGAATACACTTAAGTCCTGTCCCTCAGAATCCCCTCCAATAACTATTAGTGTGAAGGGCAAGGCTGGTGGATGTAGGCAATGCTGGAAGACGAGATAAATTGAGGCCCTGGTCAAGAAAAAGAAGGAGGCATATGGCAGGTGTAGACAGCTGAGATTGAGTGAATTCCTCAAGAAGGACAAGGGTGGTAGGAGTATACTCTAGAAGGAAATTAGGAGGGCAAGAAGGGGACAAGATAGCTTTGGCAAACAGGGTTAAGAAGAATCCAAAACAATTCTACAAATACATTAAAGGAAAAACAGCAACTAGGGAGAGATAAGGCCCCTTAAAGATCAACAAGACCATCCATGTGTTGAAATGCAGGAGATGGATGAGATACTCATTTGGTATTTACTGTGGAGAAGGATATGGATCCACAGAACTTGGAGAAATAAACAGTGATACCATGAAAAAAGTGTCAATGTTACAGAGGTGGTAGTGCTGAATATCTTAAAACACATAAAGGTGGATAAATCCCGAGGAACTGATCAGGTGTTTCCCAGAACTTTGTTGGAAGCCAGGGAAGTGATTGCTGGGTTTCTTGCTGAGATATTGGATCTCAGCCATGGCTGAGGTGCTAGAAGGTTGGAGGTTGGCTAATGTGGTGCCACTATTTAAGAAAGTTGGTAAGGAAAAGCCAGGGAACTTTCAGTCAGCGTGCCTGACAGAATTCAAAGTTTGAAGTCAATGATGACACTTTGTCTGATGAAATGTTTTTTTTATCCTCCGCAGGTGATGCCTGGCCAGATGAGTATTTCCTACATTTTGTTTTTATTTCTGACTTTAATTAACATCAGTATTTTGCGTTTGTGTCCAAAGTTCAATTCCATGCTTAAGTATTTCCCATGTGTCTGATGAAGTGGGAGAAATTAAATAATGAGAAAATTACAACAGAAATATATGCACTTTGTAACTATCAAGCAAATTTGTAAAGATCCCAAATCTGTCTTTTCAAATGAACTATTCAGTCTATTTGTATATTGTATTTGTTGCATATACTTCTTAGGGTTAAAGGGATCAAAGGGTATGGTGAGAAAGCAGAAACAGGGCACTGAGTTGAATGATCAGCCTTGATCACAGTGAATGGCGGAGCAGGTCTGAAGGACAAATAGCCCACTCCTATCCTATTTTCTATGTTTCTATGTCTATTCTGGATTACAGGGTAAAAAAGCACATATGCATTTTTAGGTATAAGACATTGGTAAATCTCACTATTGCTATCTCATTATTGCTATCAATAATACTGCTAGTTGGCACTGTTGACCTTCAAAAGATTAATTTTCTACTCAGGTGCATTAAAATACCAAACATAATTCACACTGAATCATGGTATATTCAAAGCAGTTTAATCAAATGCTTCTGTAAAGTAGGAGATATTACAAGTGCATGTGAATATCTTTAAGCTAAATATCATACTAAGATTAAATCAATTTGAATTACATTTGACCTTTGTGAATTTACAATTACCTGTTTATGGCAGAGGCAGAGTCTTGTAGTCTCTAATCAGGAAGCAGACTTATGTATATTGAAAGTTGTGAACATCACCTAACAATGTACTATTTTATCACCAGAATTTCAACATCTAAAGTTTTTGTTTTTGCGTTTCAAAACTAAATAAAGAAAATGTTAGGAATAAAAAATATCCAAACATTAATCAGTAATCAATTTGGGTTCTGTTATGTACAATAAAAAAATAAATTATTCACAGTTCCTATATATTTTTCAATTAAATGTCTACAATTTTCTAGTAGGTGCCAAAATCATTGCAGTGCACTCTCCTGCTGGATGCTGTGCTATTCACAGCTTTAATTTGGTAAAGTCTTCATTTACTTTGGTTTTGTTTGAAGATTAAGCTTCATGATTCAGTGCTGCACAATAGGAACACATGTAAGGCATTACCTCCTTGTCAATACAGAGTATTAGAAGTTTTGAGTAGTTCAGTTATCTTATGTCATTCAGAACATTGAGAAATGTTCTAAAATTTGTACTTCAGAATAATGGCTTTAACAACTCATGCTTTGGCAACTTTCACCCCACTAAATATTTCTTGCAAATTTTACTTTTTGCTTCTCTTCTTCTTCTCCACCCACATATGGGCAATGTGGACCGCTCCAGCTCAGCTCACTTGTGAAATCTTCCTATAACTTTTACCATCTTGTTCTTTTTCTAATACCTGTAAGAATAAGTTCTCTGCTCTACACCACCCTACAGCTGTACTTCATATTAGGAAACAATAATGTGAATCCATATCCCACAAGTCTGGTCCCCACAAACCCTGTCCAACAGAATCAAGTAGCTGGCCAACACTCTCAGTAGCTGGCTCCATTTTTTCAGAACATAAGGCATTCAAAGGAGTAACACATACTTGAAGGGTAGTAAGGTGGTATTGGGAAGTGAAGCACAGTGGAGAAACACTTTGTTTCAAAATGGAAGGCTTGGAGACAACCTGAGAATAATTGGTTCTAATTAAGGTGGAGATGAGGGGAGTCTTTTGCACAAATACAAAGTTAAGTCAAAGAAGGTGCTCATACTCTATGTTTTTGGAAAAGATTAAATTAACTGCCAACATCTTGAGCCAGTTATTTTATCAATTCCTGTTTCAAGTACATGGAGAGAGTGAAGACTTCATTTTGATTGTGCAAATCAATACCTTCCAAGGATTCTTATAGTATTTCTTAGACCTATCCAACCATCCTCATCAACCCTTCTCACCCCAATATCACTACACAACATGTTTAATAGAGGGATGAACTTACGGGAAAGATTAGGTAAAAGAATAATTGCAAATCACATTCTGCTCAGCAGTAGAGTGCTGCAAGTCATACTAACTGGCAGCTTTCATACTAAAGACAGAACTGTGAATTAGGACTTTGGGAATTGAGGGAGTGCTAAACTGCAGAGATCCATCCGTTAGTTAAGCTGCTAAACCTATTGAATTATGGTAGAGCTGTAATGGGTAGGCTGTAGATTTGAACATCTAAGTTAGGTATGTGTCACATGAGGAACAACAACTTTAAACATAATTTGACTAAGAAAACAGTGCAGTCAATATTTCCATTTCTGTGCTTGCCTGCATAAAACTATCTGCATATCTTCTTCAATGCACAAAAAAATAAAGTATAAAAATGGAAAATTCTGGTTATAAATCTTGCTCCTCTAAATTTTGGTATATAGGCAATATCAAGCTCTTTTGGGGTCTGATCCCACTGCCAATGCAGCAGTTTGTCAACTTAGCTGGTTACATTGATGACATGACTACTAATTCATTATGTTTCTAGCATTCAAAGTCTTTCAGGTTAATATGCAATCTCAGATTAATTTTTATGAAACTAGATCTTATATCCAAAATGGATAATGAATATCAAACAACCTAAAACGATAACCTAAGAGTTTTAAAACAAATGTTTCTTTAATGATCTAGCTAGAAGAGATAGAATGTTATTCTGATTAAAAATGAAACAAATATCAATAACAGTAAAAATAATGTGGGAATCAAAAAATATATAGTTACGTGCAATTGCGTAAAAAATTCCCAAAAATTTCAGGTCATTGTTGAATCAGTAATTGTGAAGTTACTGCATATTACCATTAATTGATGACATTTGAGGATTACTTCCTCCCCCAGAATATAGGTAGTAACAACATATTGGAATGGTACATTGTGTATTCATTTTCTGGAAAAAAAGTTGTGTTACAACTATTTGCTTCTGATGTCCAAAAAAAATCTTCTTATAGTTAGATCAGAAACTGTTTCTACATGCCAATATCTCTCCTTACTGCCTATGAGTAAAGACACGAGCAGTCACAAACAGATTGCAGAGCAGGAAGAGTGGTGGGAAAGGTGGTTCCAATTGTAAGTTAAGGCAAGCCTTCATTAGATTTGATAAATCAACTCCCACATCAAAACAACATTCTAATGAAAGATTCAACCGTATATCACTGTTTCAATGATTATCTGGAAAATGAAACAAGATGACATGTTTGTATGGTGCTCTTCTATCCGATATTTTAGCAAAGATTTAAAATAAACAGGTTAAATCCTGATTAGAACAGCAGATAGAAGAATATTATACTGCAAGGTTCAAAGCATTATTGCCAGTGATTTCAAAGCTGAACTCTGAAATCAAATCAGTGCTGTTAGCTTAGTTTTATAATTATTTTTGTCCTCTGGAATATTTGTAAAGCATACAGAGCCAGAAGTCAAACTAAGTTAAAAACGTAAATACTGAAAATAAATAGTGTCTCTGAAGAAAAATAATGAATGGAAGAACATCATACAATTTAAGTGTTCATGTGCTGTAATTTCACAATCAAAGACCTATAGAAATGTGATTCGAGTTACCCAAGGTGATGAGGAGGGTGATGGGAGTGACATGAGGGGAGAGTAAAATGAAATTTGGGAAATTTTATCACAACCACCCCAATTGTAGTTAAATGTGTGACAGATTGGAAACCATGCAATCAAATTGCTTTCAGGAGATGGAAGAGGATGTGAGTGGGAAGTTTGGAATTTTACAAAATGCAAAATATTTTAAAGAGACCACAAGCCTCCATTTTAACAAAAGGTTTGTTTCTAAGACCAGCGTGTCACATTTCCCAGGTTTGAGGGAGGTGTGAAGAAATGGATTCATCAGGTACACCATACCTACAGAACAGAAGCAAGAGTGTCTTCTGCCAGCTCAATAAGCAAACCTGCTCCATGATCTGTTGGACATTCACTACAGTCTGTTTAACCCTCCCCAGTGATCTGTCCAACCTCCCCTTCACCCATTATGGCAATTGGCCATACTGCTCTATTGCACCACACCCCTCTAACCTTCCAGGCATCTGTCTAACCCCTTCCCAATGACTTAGGTGCCTAGCAATGTCACCTTTAATCTGCTAAAATGCAGCTGGGAAATAAGAATATTTTTAAAAGTTATAAATCATGCCAAGTAATTTAAAGTTTCCCAGACATTAAACCTCTCCATTTGCACACTGTGCCTCAATCATTCACCTCCAACTTCAAAGGTAATTCTCAAAACACCAGTTCTACATATATCCAGCAAAAACCTTTCCCATGCACTGAATACTGATTGAGGTACCTTAATTGAAGGTCTGATGAAATACAGTAAATTGCAGTACAAAATAATAAAAGCAGCCTTGTAATTCCTTTTGGCAGAAATTCAATTATTCCAGTTTTTGAATAAAAGCTTCAGACTAACAACATGAGAAACACTGAAAAATTCCTCCTTCCCATATAAGTCTACACGAAACAAAAGTAGTTACAGTCTGTGCAAAATGTAACATAAATGGCACAACAATCATTCAAACCTCCCATTATCCAATGGAGGTTTTAATATTCCTTCATTATTTTAACACAACTACTAGGAATATGTCACCACTTCATTCTTACTTGAGTGTTAGCGGCCATTAGTGTGCAATTCTTATTTTTTAAAAATTTATCACAACCACCGTTTCTGGTGACAAAAATAGTTGCCAGTTAGATGGTATCGATAATGATGAAGACAAATGATCAATCAATCCACAAATCAACCTGTGCAATAGGTTGTTTCTGCTCCAAGTAATCATTTACAGAGAGAACTGAAACCATTTTCAATGGATCAGCTGATATTGGAATGAAAAAATTATTGTAATACTGATATTTGCCACTGGATGTCACAAGCACACTATATTCTATTATATACAGACGTCACAAAGACTTGGAGTACACTATTGTCACTTAACAATTCTTTTCTGCAATTTAAGTACAACACTGAATTCTGAAATTAGGACTAATTTGCTGATTGAATCAAGCAGATTATTTTGTCTGAAATTAACTGATAGTTCAATTGCAATTTTAACTTATTGTAGAAGTGACCATCAGCAAGGAGCTTTGCCTTCCTCCCATTTCCTGACAATATGGCTGCGAACTAACTTATAGTATCTTGACAAAATGGCCATGGTTGGACGGTGGGCACATGTTCAGTAAAGAGAGACTATTTTACCATGGAAGCTAATCCCGTCCTTAGCCAACATCTGCATTCACATTTCTCCATAAACGTTGCTGAATAGTTCTCAGGTGCTGCAACTGTGGCTAATTTTCTATCCCATCCCAGCTAAGGCAAGTTACCTTAGAACAGACCAAGGATCAAAACTTAAACTCTTCTGGCCTCCGTTGTCACTTATACACTGAGTAGTATATTTACTGATGAGCCATCAGAGGGAACTAATGCATTTTTATTTAAGAGTTACACATTTGAATGGCACCCTATTGCTTTTGTACAGCAACAGAAACTTTTGGGCAATATTTATATGCATGGAAAAGAATACGGTTTATGAAAGCAAAAATCACCTAATTGCTTGAACTTCATGTAAAATAACTTGTGGTTTCTTCAGGATTATTTTGTCTGCAAAGTGGCAGAAACCGTCCACCAAAAAGTGATTTCAATATTATTAAAAATCACATTAAATAAATTAGCCATTGGTCTGTTGCTTACCCATGATTGAAATAAAAGTACAAATGACAATTACTTTTTAAGGTAGCCATTTCTATGCTGTTTTTGTCAAGGATATGTTTGGTGACCCATACATCAATAAGGTAGAATGCCCTGAAGCAGGATTTAAGTGAAACATAACTTTAAAACAAAATGGAATTTTTTAAAAAAGAAATCAATTAGTTACAACTTTATTTTACAATGACAGCACCAATTGAGAAAGAAAGAATTTCATGGGGGGAGGGAGAGGCTGATTCTGACTGGTTTCTTTTGTACAGGGTACAGTTCAATTCAAGAAAATGCATCGGCAAAAAAAAAAATCAGCTGTTGCAAATCCTGAAATCATGCTATTTATTTAATCTCAAAATTCTTCTTTTATACCCTCATTATCCTCTGCTCAACAGACCAATACTTACGAAAGTAAGATTAAACTTGGACTGGCAACCCTCCAGTACCTTGCTCAATTAAACATCTTTCATCATGATCTTAGACATCAAGTATCAGCAGATTGTTATCAATTAAGCAGTTACATAGCAAAGCCCAAAATTTTCTCAGCCAACATCTGCATTTTCCAGCAAGTTATTGGATAAAACCAGAACTAACATTATTTTCCAGCTCTGAAACTAGAGACCATTTGGGAAACTTAAGATACACTCAACTAAAATCAGACAATCCAATATGTGGATGATGCAACTTGGAGCCTTCCTGATTCTATAACCTGCTACTCCAGTGGTTGTCCTTACCAATTGGGCTAATACTCCCCTACTTTCACATAAGCAGGTTTCACTGAAGAATGTCAGTTAGTAGGATAAGCATGAGTAATATTCATAATTCTAATAGTTTGTAACAAATAGGGGACATATACAGATTTAAAAACCATTGAATATGAACACATTTGATAAAGGATTCATTGTTAAATTTTGAAGCATTTCAGTTTAATGATTTAGACCAAAAACTTTAACTTTAAAGTGTTCTGCATTTCAATGTTGCTGTTTTAGCATGCTCGGAAGGATAAACTCTCCCTCAGACACTTCAGCTGCTCCTCGCCAAGTTTGATTTTGTCCTCCAGCTCCCTCTGTTCAATGATGAGGGCAGATTTCATCTTTACAAAGTGAGTGTAATCCTGCAGCTCCTCCTCTGACAGGTGCTTGACTAGGATATTATGAACAGCATGTTCCCTGCGATCCACATGTTCCTTCAGCTCTTTGGCCTCTTCCAGCTGAGCTAAAAGTTGCTTTTTCTTTTCAGTCAACACATGCTGCAAATTAAAATGAACAATGCTAATCAGTTACATTTGCTTTCCCCTGATTTTTTTTCCTCTCTCTGCACTTCCCTCTATTGTCTCCCAGCTATTGTATCATGTAGATTGCTGATCCACAGGAGGCAGAAACGTTGTGGCATCTTTCCCAGATGGCTGTTACTCACATTTGAACAAACAGTGTCAGCATGAAACTCATTCTCTTCTCAGCTGACACATTTTCAATACAGTTGTCTGATAGCAAATCAACAGCAGGGACTTTGTAACAACTTTTATTTTTAACTGACAGCTAAAGTTACTCTTAAAAGCACTTGAAAACATCTATTTCCACCTTCGCTTCCTGTCAGGTTTTTTTGGGGGGAGGGGGTGCAGGGCGGTCAGCTAGTTCAGAACAGAATCTATACTGGAATATTCATACCACTCAGCATTGCACAAATTCACTGGAACATCAGCAGAATCAAACTGTCAAAAAGATTTGTTCTTTGTAAAATATTATAGTTTCCTCAGCTGTTTTCATACTTTTGAGTTCTTTTTAATGAAAAAGACAGTTTTTAACTGAAACAAAGGACATTGAAGTTTCAGATGACTAAGACTAATTTGCATTTTGCATCATTGTCCAAGGAAAGAGAATATGGCCACACAAAGGTAAAACGGCCCAACAGAGACAACAGATTTCCTGGAGCTGTGATAGCTTCCTTCCTTTCTTATCAATGAAGATGTATCTATTCAGAAGGTAATTGCATGGACATTAAAAATTAATCAATTAGGCTGTGTAACAACAGCTAAATAGGAGTTGTATGAACTAGCCCTCTATATTTTTTGGATTACAGAATTAGCATGGAGAGAGAGGTCATATTGACAAGCTTTTGTGTGGCCATTGCAATTAGGGTCTGGACAGTGATTGATATTAGCTGCAGCAGGTAGCCATCTTACCCCTCTCTCTTCTCAACATGAGATCTAAGCTCCACATTCTGTTCTACTGAAGGTGTTTACATCCCCACAGCAGAGATTTTCCACTGAAAGCCAGTGGATTTTCTACAACAGTAATTCCAGGAGAAAATACAATACCCGCAATGACTATACAGCAACTGCATCAATGAGAAACAAAACATCTGAAACCAGTCAGTGACGCTTTATTGACTTCACCTTTTTATTCTTCATTTTACCTGGCTAAATTCATCATCTAATACTCTGTAAAGCTGTACTTTTCTGCAGGTTGTGGAAGTGTGTCTGTGTTTGCATGCAATAGTGGGAAGTAGGACCTATTTGCACATTTTTGACATTTTTATATTGCTGGGTCTTAGTAATAAAAGTAATCACATATGTGGTTAATTTAAAAATATTGGTCTGGCTTATTTCTTAGAAACTGCACAGTCAAAAACATATCGAGTTGGCAACCCAGTATCATTTTAAAATTCAAAGTTTCTGCTGCAACCAAATGGGGAGTGATAGAAGAGGAAAACCATTTCATCCCTTCTCATTTGATTTGCATCAACATATGTTATTGAATTATCAGAGTTTGTTGGTGTTGTCAGGTGTTTGATTTGAGTCATCTGTACTAAGCTAAGTTCTTATGCAACAGGAATGTCAAAATTATTCACAATATTTAAAAACAGATCTTACTATCAGTTGCTACAAAGCAGAATTTCACATATCGATTGTAACTAAATTATCTAGTACCACTCCACTTTCACTCTCTTCTGACAAGATCCAAGCAATCAGTGACATTACCATAGGTATCATTACCATGAATCATAACATATTATGATTTGACATGGTGCACGAGAACAGGGTCTTCAATACCCTACTGCAGAGATTGGACTCCTTGGACACTGAAGCAATTCATGTCCAAATGCAGCAAGAGTGGGTCGAAATCTAGACCTGGGCTGACATGTGCATTCAAGCTGACAACTGACAAGCTGCATTCTTAAAGAGCAGTCAAGGTTGGGTTAAGAATATTCAAGGCTGAGATAGATTTTTAATTAGTAATGGAATCAAACATTATAGGAAAAAGGCAGGCTTTAAATGAGAAGTTACAGTCATGTCACACAAGCGTCAGGCAATGGCCATATCCAAAGAGGGAATCTAACCATTTCCACTTGCCATTTAAGGCATTACATCTATGATACATTTATGAATTGGCATTGACTGACAATACCTACCTTTTCTTCTTCGCTCGTGTCAACATCCAGGTTATTTAAAGCATTTTCCACTCGAGCAAGTCGGCCCGAGAGAGACAGCAACAGGTTCACAACTTTATCCAAATCCCCGATGAACATTCGGTACTTATCAAACTCATTTGGTTTGCAGACATTCTTGACCAATCTTTCAGCATCTTCCCCCAATGCAGTGTTTGCACTGATGTCTTCCAAGAGGCTCTTCTGGGCTTCATGCAACACAGAGAGTTTCCTGCTAAGGCTGCTAATCAGTTGTTGCTGTGGAAATTTATAAGAAAAAAATACTGATTAGAAGAGATCTTGTTTGCCCGAAATGATGTGAAAGTATAAACATTTTGCCACATGATACATGATGTCTCTTAGCAGGATGAACCTGCAGACAGGCCTGGACCTAAATAACGGATTCTTGACATTTACATGAAGAATTGCTTTCAGATTACTTTTTAGACCTTTCTGCCTGCTGACCTTATTTAGCAAGTGCCTCTTCTCATCACCTGAGATGATTCTGTATCTAGTAAGAACGTAATACCTTCTTTTCTATCAACTTGTTCTCTTCTTCCTCCTCCTCCAAACACTCTTCAGCCATGTTTGGAAAGTCCTTCATTTTGTTCAACAGCTCGGCCTTGGCAGCAGATGTGCTATAATAGGCAGAGCAAGAAGTTGAGCTAATGATCGCTGTTGGGGACGTGGCCTGTGCAGTACACCTGTAAAGGTTACAGAGAAAAACTATCACATTAGTTATGCAAGAAATGAAGACAAATTCTAAAAAAAGTACTGACTGAAAGTAGTATCAAATGCCCTTCCCCTCGTGATTTCATCAACATTTGCATTACATAGAATTTCCAGCACAGAATGAAACAATTTGCTCCAAACTGTCTATGCTGTTGTTTATCTTCCACACAAGTTTCTTTCCATTCCATCTCTTCTCTGCTTTTAAGCATACCTTTCTACTGATTTTCCTCTTGTCTAATATTCTTCTGCAATTGTCTAAGCTGTTTATCTCATCTTTTATGGTATTCCATTCCTCATTCTAACCTGAGTATAGACATTCTCATTTCCCTACAGAATAAGTACTTTGTATTTATGGACCCTTTACCTGCCCATTCTGTTTGTAATTGCAATGATTTTGATCAGGTCGATTCTAGAATTTTTATATGCTCAAGGGAAAAACATCAACCTGTTCAATCCTAACTGATACCTATAGAAAATTTTTCAATTCTGGTTTCACCTTTGTTCTCATCCAAATCTCGCTTGCATTTTTCCCAGTCATTTTCAATATGCAGACTAGAACTTTGTACACCTCCAAGTGCAGCCTGACTACAGTCTTGCACTTTCACCACTTTTGGATGTTATATCCTTTCAGACAAATTAATGCTTTATTAATATTTGTAATTCCTTTGTTGATCTATGATGCTGCTGTTATCGATTTTACCTATATCTCTTTGCATTTCAACCAAATTTTCTAAGGTTGCAGTGATATTTTTGTTTTATCTACCAATATGTATAATTTGTCATTTAACTATTAATGTAAATTTGCTACAACTACCCAGCCTACACATTGTCTATAGTTTCTTGTTAGCTATAGATCACCAGCTTACTATCAAGTGTAGGTTTGGATGGTGAGCTACTTGTTTTTCATTAAAACAACGCATTATTAGCAGTGATATTACTGAACGCCACTTCCAAACTAATCTAATACATTCAATCCTACACTTGAATTTATTTTACAGCCAATTCATTTTCTAATTAGCTACTTGGTCTAACTCCACATGCTCTAACCCTTGTCATGACCTTCCACGTGGTACTATCTGAAAGGCCTCTTGAAAACCAAAATATGAAATTGACCCTTACCATTACGTCGAAGGAATTCAACCGGACTCTTTGAGCACGATTGAGCCTTTTGCAATCTATGCCTACAATTATTAAGTATAACATTTTCTTGGTGGAGGTTTTTCCACCAGATTTAGTAGAAATGATATTTTGGAATTTGTATCGCTGATATCAATGATATAGCATGGATATTACAAAAACACATCTGCCACCTCATGCTTAATTTCCCTGAATATATATTGGCTGTGTACCATTTGGACCTGTGATTTTATATTCTTTAATATTTGCTAATTTGCCAATTATTTTCTCCATATTCTTCCCAGCTTTGTTAATATCCTTAAGTTCAACCACTATTGGTTTCTATTAAAATGCTTCAGTTTTAATAGAAGAAGATAAAGTAGTTAGTCATTGCTTCTGCCATTTCTGTCAATACCTCTGAGCTTATCTTTGTCATTCTTCAGTACCCTTATCACTACATTAGCTTTCCTGTTTGACTGTAATCCAAAAGTGAGCAAAACAGTGTATGAGGTGAGCACGTGTTATAGCTCACCAGTTCCTAAAATCATTCTATTCCTATAAAGGAGCTGCATTATTCAAATGAAGGTGTTGTGGACAAGAAATGCTGCAATCAGGACAGAAATTTGACATTGTACTGCATCTCAGAACCCAACCTCCAACATAAATTTAACAGTTTGCGCACAATGTTCATTACGATAGCATCCACTACACTTTTCCCCATATTGATCCTGAATTTATGCAGCCTGAAAACAAAGATTCCAAATTCATCTGCAAGGATTGTATTACCTCAGTAATTTCAAGTTTGTCTTTTTTAAAATTAAAACAAATTTAAAAGTTTTGGTTGACAAAATTAAATCCATCACTGAGCGTGGTCGAGCTCGAAAGGGCATTGCTGCTTAACTGAGTCTGCGGAACCAACAAAAGGGAAAACCATACTTATCTTTGTATTCACCAGGCTACTTGTTGAAGGACGTGTCTGTTCATGACAGTATCAGGAGTGACCAACGCACATCATTGTGGATACTCTCTATTATGCTATGTGGTATGACCTCTGTGCAAATTGAACAAACATCAAACAGAACTAGCAATTCAAAACTGAATAGAGTGGACCATCAGCAGCAGCTGAATTATATTCAGCCTCAATGTGTAACGACATGGCCTGGTCAATCCCAGTCTATCACCATCATCAAGCCAGAAGATTAATTCTTGCTCAATGAAACGAAGGGAAGGCATGCCAGTAGCAGCACCAGGCATACCTAAAAATGAAGTGTTAACTTAGTGAAGCTAGAACACAGAACTACTTGTATAACAAAAAGCATAAGCAGCATGCAGTAGAACATAGAACATAGAACAGTACAGGCCCTTTGGCCCATGCTGTTGTCCCAACCTATTATCCTACTCTAAGATCAAACTAACCTGGACTCTTTTCATTTTACTATCATCCATGTGCTTATCCAAGAGTCACTCAAATATCCCTAATGTATCTGACTCTACTACCACCGCTGGCAGTGCATTCCACACACCCACTACTCTCTGTGTAAAGAACCTACCTCTGACTCTGAGCAATGGACAGGCTAAGTGATTCCACAACCAATGCATCAGAGTCAGGATCTGCAGCCCTGCAATCCAGTTATGAATAGTGAACCACACAACAGCTCATTGGAGGAGGCTACTTCACAAATGTTGCAGTCCTCAATGATAGGTGAGATGAACACATCAATGTCTAATGGCTGTAACTTTATTTATTTTTCAGTAATTTTGAATGTGAACTGAAATAGGAAATGGACTTTTTAAAAACAAAGATGGTCGATGGATTACTGCACTTTTAAAAGCAAGTTACCTGACACACATTACAAGTGCTGTTTTCACATCCTTGATTTCCATTGTGCTATCCCAGTGAGGTGTAACAAATGCAAAAAGTAAGGCTGGAGCAATTGCATTCACCTTTAGCCAGATGTGCCCAATAGATGATCCATCTCAGCCTTCCTGAGGTCCCCAGCATCATGGATGCCAGTTTTTAGCCAATTCAATTCATGCCACATATAAGCAAAAATGGCTGAAGGCTCTTTATACTGCAAAGAGTATGTGCCCTGATAACATTCTGGAATCTTCAGTAATAATGCCAGAATTAGCTATACCTCTAGCCAAGTTGTTCTAGTGCACCTGGAAGTGACACTTACCAGATGATGTGAAAAACTTTCCAGGTATGTCCTGACCATACAAAGCAGAATAAATACAATCTGGCTCATTACCATAGTACCAGTCTACCCTCAATCACCAGATAGGGTCAGTTAGCTCAGCGTGCTGGATGGCTAGTTTGTGTGGCAGAAGACATACTAACAACGTAGGCAGAGTGAAATAACTGCATAGAGGCCAGTATCCCATCACCAAGTCACCCTCTATTTACTTATGCACAGGACACTGGCTGTGGCCAACCAGCTCGGAGTCAGTCCCCTGAATTGAGGAGATTCTAAATCTCCTGCTTATACTGGTCAGCCAGGGCTTTCTTGAATGGGGTTGTTAACCTGGGCCAAAGATCTTGTAGTCAATGGTATCTACCTGGTTCCAATAGCTACACTGAGGTCACCATGAAGGTCCCACCATCGTAACCTCCCCCTCTTGCTTGATGTGTGGTGGTCCTCAGGTTAAACCATCACCTGTCGTCTTGTTCTCTCTCCCCCATGTGTGCTCTCTCTCCCTCGCTCCCTGATAAACGAGCAGTCCTCTGGAACTACGGCAACCTCAGCTTTACTGATCACTCGCTAAGTGATGGAAAAAACAGTGGAACTCTTTCTAACATCTCAGTGGGTTTCCCTACAGCACAAGGACTTTTGTCATTGAAAGAGGCCACCAGCTTCTCCAGGGCAATTAAAAATGGCAATGATGCTTATGCCCCTTGAATGAATTAAAAAAAAACTAACTTTATTATTCACCTACAAGGACACCTGGATACTTCTGCATTACAGTATTTTGTAGTCTCGCTCCATGTAATACTCTGACCAAAGCAGACAACTTCACATTTTCCCATATTATACTCCATTTACTAATTTTGTGTTCCCTCACTTAACCCATCTTTTCTTACAACTCGCTTTCCTATTTACATTTTTATTGTCAGCACACTGGCCACAGTATGTCAATCCCTTCATCCATGTCATTACTATAGATCATAAATAATTCAGGCCCCCTGTGTCACACAACTAATTACAGCTAAACAATATGAAAATATCCCAGTTATTTAGCCAATCCTGTACTCATGCTAATGTATTACCCCATCATGCCAGACGATCTCATAGTAACGTTTAAAACAGCTTATCAGATACCTTTTAAAAATCCAAATACGCAAGTACTTCCATGTAGTCACAATTCAGTAAGTCATACTATATACAGATCCTCTCTAAAATTCTCATTCATTTTTGGAATTGGACATAGATACAGGAATTGGCTATTGAACCCTCAAGCTTGTCCCTCCATCCAATGAGATCATAACTGCTCTGTGATTCAACTTCACATATTTGCTGTTGCTCTATAACTCTTAATTTTAAATCTGAGATTGAAAACTAAAACTACTGACAATTGACTAGCATCAACTATCATTGGCAGAAGTGCGTTCCAAACTACTAATCCCCTTTGCGATATTTCTCACTTTCACTTGCGAAAATCTCATCTTAAACTCCCAACTAGCAGAATTTTTTTCCATCATTCAGCCTATCTATTCACCATAACATTTTGTAAACTTCAGGGCTGTTACTCTAGTTTGTAATCTCTCATGGTAATTTAACTTTTGTAGTTCAGATATCATTTCAGTAAATTGATGCTTCATTCCCTTCAAAGTTAGTATACTAAGGTATGGTGCATG